TATTTACTTGATCAATGCCGCATAGATTGAGTACATGGTTCAAATTCAACTGAATTATTTTAAGAATAGCTTATGTGGGAATGTTCATGAAATGTCACTCTACTGATAATCTGTTAAACATCTACAGAAGTGAACAGTTAAATTGCTTAATCTCAATGAAATGCTGTTGAAAAGTTACAAATTATTCTTTACAACTCTGAAAGCAGACTATCCAAATAAAGTGTTAACATGCCCTCATTGACTTCAAAAGATATCATAAGTGTTGTTTCATTTGTCTAAAAAAAAAAAAAAATCTGGTGTAGACTTGGTGATATTGAACCTCAGAGGGCTAAGAGAGCAAGTCCACAAGGATGGAAACTCCAGAGCTGTATGTCACCCACAATGCATTGCATTTATGCATTTGATGCAAGAAACTACATCCATGGTTGGATGGCAGTAATGTATGTGAAACTCTGGTTGCTTACCACTGAAGAATGAATAAATTGGAAAATAAATAAAATAAAATAAAATAAATTCACTATCTGACATACTTTTCAATTTCATTTTTTCCTAATATATCTTATTGGTCTGTACATGTGTATAGGTTCATTCGCCTGTTAGCAAATAGGTTCTAACGACAATCTCACTAATAGCTTGATATTATACTGAAAAATGCCATATAACTAATTGCAGTTAGGTTGTTGTATTGTGTGATTTATTTCCAACATTATTTATAGGGTAAACACATGGGAAATAGCTGTTTTTGCAATATATCATAAACCCTTAGATAATTATGATAATCATGATACAAATCACAAACAGAAATTTCTAAATCAGAAACTGATGCAGCTAATTACCAAGTGCCTACTGATGTATTGTAGTTATCTCTAAGAGATGCCTTCGCCTTATTGAAATGTGTCTGCAGGTATTCCTGATGATTTGTAAAAAGCAGTATAGTGCTGATTCTACAACTGGTGGTCAGTCATGATTCATGACATATTTGGCTGAAAGTGAACAAGGGCAGGTGTGCTTCATTTCAATCCCCCACTCCTCCCCTGCCCACTTTCCCAATGCTCCCCAAGTGGCCTCCATGTGATGTGAGCTGTATTATAATACCAAGGGCTGAGGGTAAGTCAATGAGGGGAAGTGGAACTAATAATGAAATGCATCAAGTTTTCACCAAAAGTGATCCCATTTACACCATTGTCTGCTCTATAACCCAGACCCATCTGTATAAGACATGCTAGTGTCTTATTCCTTTGCAATAATTTTTGGTGTAGCACTGGGTACATACCCCAGAAACACTGTATAATTCACCTCTACGGTATAACAGCTGCTTTAGTGCTAAACATGTTAAATAAGATGAACCAGTCTACTATAAATCCATGGTTTGCTGAGCAAGCAGCTTGAGTGAGTTTGTTTGAGTGTGTTTGTCAGTTAAATGTAGTTTCTTTTTCTTTGTAAGTCATCATCTTATGATGTTAGGCCTGTTGATATGGTATTTTGAGACAATTAATATTTGTATTAGGCGGTGTTTGGAAGGCCAACCTCTTTTATATGGTTTTATATATTGATAGAATTTTACAATATTTTCAGGCAGTTATATATATATTCTCACTTTCAGCTCTACATGTCAAATCATGATGCTCAAAGTACCCCTCCACCATCAGTTTTGGATGCTCAGGGGCGGCGTGTCAAATTACATGCATTGTTTCTTTTCAAAATAAAACTTCCATGTTCCAAGACAATGTACAGTTTTTGCTCAGTAAATGCTTTACAAGATAAACTTAGAATGTAGGTTAAATAATAACTTGTTTTAGGTTTCCTCCTTTGGTAACTAAGGTCCCTGGGTATGGCTGAGGCAAACAAAGCTAAAGCAAAGTTAAATTAAGAAAAAAAAAAAAAAGGTTTGGCTTAGAATAAGTACATTTGTTGCTAATGTAATGTAATGACACGTGACATATGCCACATACCTCACATAACTTTGGTCACCAGCATAGTATGCTACAAATACTGGCATATAACATTGCACTTGACTTTTGGTTTCATACTAGACATGAACACCAGTTTCCTGGGTGAAAGTCTGGAGTTTTTTTGACCCATCCACAGCTGTAAGGAATCACAATTTCCCTCTGGGATCAATAAAGTATTTCTGATTCTGATTGACATGGTCATATCATAGACTGACCAACCATTTGTGAGACTAAAGATAGCAAAGCAGCTCTACAGCTTGATATTACTTACAAGGGATAAGAAGACACTTATCTCTGGTGTAATGTCATATAAAGTACCATTACAAGTTATTTCACATGACAAACAAGTGAACAGCTGTGATGATCTGTCAGGATGGATTATCTTAGAATTGAGGACAGGTGACATGGTGCGCAAGAACCTTTTTATTTTCTGCACTGAATTGAAAAAAAAAAAAAAAGTTTAAAAAAGCACTCACTTTGTACACTCAATTTCTGCAGACGGGACATATTGTTGACAATGTCTAATGCCTTTAAACACTAGAAATTCATCAAAACATTCCAGGTGAAAGAAATGTACAAAAAGGATGTAAGGTCTTGATTTTATACTGTGCAAAATTCATCTATAATATTGAAATGGCATTCAGTCAGTCAGTGGCAGAGGAGGAATGATGTGAAAATAACTGATCTTCCACAGTCTTAGTGCCCACATACACATCAAACAGTCAAAAAAAAAGCTTTAAAGGAAGTTCAGGATTGCAATTCCATATCTACAAAATATTCATAGCTATTTACACTGTACAGAGATTTAAACACATATATCTGTTACAAAAAAAAGAAGCTGTGTGCCCAAGTGGATCAGGCAGATTATACAGTGAAGATCTGAAGCAGTCGGATGTGCTGTCTGTCCTGGAGGCCAGATAGAAACTCAGCCATTTGTGACCTGGATAAGGGTTCTCTCTGTAGACGTGGTGAAGATGCTACAAAAAACACTGGAATGCACGGATGATAAAAATGTGTCTGCTCCACATGGCTTTTTGAAAATAATGGTGTGACATTAAACACATCAAAGAAATGGAGGGAATCTGCATAAAATGTGGACAGCTGGTGCTTGTCAATAATTTTTGCCAGAGATTTTCAACTCTGTAGTGCCAGGAAAAATGACTGGTGCTAAGAGTGGCTGTGGTTGCTAATATACATTATTGGGATTTCTATGTTAACATTACTAGGCCTACTTAACAATCTTGTTATCTGAAGATAAACTATGTTCTCATGATCACGTCTTTATCATGTTTTTTTTTCAGTTGTGGATGAGGTAATCAGATTATTTACTTAATTACAAATATGACAATATAAAAATGCCACGTTACAATTATAAGTCCAGCAAAATGGAGCATAGCGCTATTTCAGGGCAAGCACTGAAGTCACGCTTACATTAGTTGGTTGCCATCAGTTGTTTCATTCATGCTTTACAATAACTGGCTCATTCATCAGCTGTGTGGCTACCAAGCAGCAACCTCCAGGGCTGAAAAATGAACCCACAGAAAGTGTCAAAAACTGCAGTTCCTCTAATGGCCACTTGAGGCTGGCTTTAGAAGCCAGTCAGTCGCCACTGAACCCTATGTTAAAACTGTACAGCAGAAATAAACATGTTTACGGCTCGGTACAAAAATGGCTTTGGTCTCTATAGCTAATTTCCCCGTTATGACAACTGTACAAGGAGTGCATTTTTATATAACTCTCACGTTTACATTTTATTAAGGCTTAATGTTACGCATAATTAGGGGCGGGCTGCTTTGAGTGACAGGCTGTCTGCTGAGTGTCCTCGGCTTCTCAGTCAGATCCACCCCTCACTCCTCCACAGCTCCACCCTCTCACCCAAATATGGTCACTTCTGGCTCCTAAAAAACAAGATGATTGCCGAAATTCCGAACTCGGGGCTTTAAAATGGGAGTCCACAAAGCAGTGGATGATGCCACAGTAGCTACGTTCATTAGTTTTGCAGTCAATGGTGGCTACCAGCTTACCAGTAACGTCCATTCAGTGTGGCAGTCATACCTCACAGTTACCACCATTACTGTGCTGATAACTGCTGCAATGTCATCCACCACCCCACTCTCCTTATGTTCTCAGAAATCACTAAGATTTTACATTCTTGTTTAAAGGGGCAGATCCAGCAGATCCCTTGTTTCCACTCAGATACTGTGAAAGCTCCTCCAAAGAGCTGACTGATACAGACTGATACAGAGAGCAAATGTACCAGGCTATCACAGATAGGTGTCACATCCTCTTTACAGAAAAACATCAAACAATCTTAGAAAGCCAGGCTTTTCAACAATCTGAAATAGCATTATGTCGTTCAATATTAAATATATCAATACTTTATTAAGATCTTTTGCATTTTTTGAGGTTGATGTGTATGCAGGCTGGTTGCCCAGCAGTCTCTTTGGGTTTTACTGGACACAATATTCACTACTATCCTGATAATAGAAATTTACTGTGATTAACTTATTGTGAGTGTTTTTCTTTTTTTTATCACCATCTGCAATAAAATTGTATATCATCCCATCCCTAAACCTGGGACAACAACAATAATAAGATGAGGATGAAGTAGAGGAAAATTTATTTGTTAAGCACTTTTTGTGTCATTAGTCTTCAAAGGCTATAGCAGTACTATGTCTTCTTTGTAAATAAGATAATCAGTTTGTGACCTTTAGATATCAGCCCTTTAAATACATTAGCAACAACAGCAGTTCTTGGCTTCTGCACCAAAACCAATAAACCTGGAAAGTCAGTGACACACAGAACATTTTGGGCTTATGGCTGATGGCTGAAATGTCATGGCTTGAAAGGGGGCATGATTTTTTATGAAAGGAGCAAGCACATACCACATTAAAAACAATAAAGTTTTTCTTTAAAATGTGACCAGAACATTGTTTCATACTTAATCACCAGTAAAGTCGTACTATTTTACAAAGTCTGTACAAGTTTGGAGCACTACAAAGTTTACAAATCCAAGGAGGAAAAAAGGAAAACGGGAATTTGTGTCTGTTTTTTTTTTTTTTTTTTTTTTTTTTAAGAAAGAAGTGGTCCAATGAGCTTCTGTTAAGGAGCAGGGAAGCATACAACCCTTTGACTTACATGATTGTCCCTTCTCTTTTTCCGAATTTTCTCAACCGCATCTATATATTCCAATCACTTTTGGATAAGTCTTTCTCATTCACATTCTCTACTCCATTCTTTTCACCTTTCATGACTTCCTATTGGAACAGGGAGGAAAGTTGTGATTGTTCTGCACAGAGGGGACAGGACAACACAGTAACTTTGTAGTTCATGGTAAAACTCAACACTCCCATGTCTGGACAGAGTTGCATTGGAGGATATTACTTAAAACAAGTGAAATGTAGTTTTAAATTTTGCGGTCATTGTTATAACCTATGGTTGTAGCATTACTTGACAAAGTATTTCTTCCCATGATATCATTGCTTGTTCATCTCCTTCCATCTGCTTCAATGTTATGCTCATTCTGGTCCATTATATGTCCCATAGCATCCCTGTACTAGTCAATCAATCACACCTCAGTCTGTTGCTGTGAGTCAGTGATGATGGTTACCCCGCGACGAAGCTCGTCCATACTGTCAAAGTCGCTGCCATGTTCAGAGTCATCCAGCCCACAGGGGGCCGACATGTCTGAGGCTGATGATGCACCAACAGAAAGTCGCATATTTAGCGACACAGAGTCATCAGTGTCCCCATTTCCTGGGGATACGCCACTCAATGAAGTGCTGAAGTCCCCATGGGATGCCTCCCCAAGGGGCAGCTGGTGGGGAGGCAGGTATTGGCTGGGGTGGAAGTGTGGTCTGGCATGCTTACGCCCGGTGCTGCCAGAGCTCAGAGTGCTCTCCTTGGAAGCCGGTGGATTGGTGGTCAGTGGCGTGTAGGGCTCAGGATAGTCCTCACCTGTGGGCAGCGGAGGTGGCAGCTGGTCTTGGCTCAAGAACTCTTCTTCATGGGGAGGGGGGTAGTCGCTGTCAATGTCGTAGCCCCCCAGGTAGTAGTCTGACTCCAGTTCACGGGTGCTTCCTGCAAGGCGTGGGGCTGAGCCTGCTACATCACTGCCAGGACCTGCCTCATAACCCGGCACCTCTTCAATGTCTGACAGCCTGGTGCTTGGCATCCAGTCTGATGTGTCCCAGTGATATGCTGGACAGTAGAGGGGGAGATGGTTAGTAACAATCTGGGCTGTGAAACAAGACAACAAGAAACTAGTTTCCACAATGTAGAGAGCTGTGCAGCAGACATGCCTTAGTATGCACCAGATACGTTACACTCAGTTACATCAACAATACACAGAGGTGTGGAAGATCAAGTGCATGACAAGGCACAACCTGCACAGAAAACATGTTAGGTCTTTCAAGGTATGTGACATGCACAATAGGAGCCTTTGAGGGTCGGAGTCACAGGTGTCACAGCATGCTGAGCTTCATGAAGACTTGCAGCACTCATGTTGACGAGCTCAGAAAACAAAGCAACACAGAAGAGGGATACTGCAAATATTTGGTAGATTTTACTAATGGTCAGTGTAGCAAAGTGATAAAAAACACGTGTCAAAAGTGGGTTGTTGGCTCTGATTCACCCTGTTACCAATTCAGCACCATGCAAGTACTTACTGAGTATAATACTAAACTAAGATTAAGCCCAGAAATAATCAGCTTAGTAGTTGTGTCCCATTTCAGCAACCACAGCAAGACTATCCTCGCCAAAATACTGACTGTGTTAACTGTTCATTCCAATGTCAACCTATGGTTTCCTGAGAAGTGACCCATTGTGCTCTTCCAGACTGTTAGATCTAAGAAGCTCCAGAAACCTCAGTGCTTGAAGGTTGTGGTGGATGGTTGGGCCTCTGACTGTGACACAGGTGACACCAGTTCATATCCTGTGTGCAGTCAACAGTCAGCACTGGTTTCTTTTTGCCATGACCACAATCCCTATAGTACCCTAAATCTATCCATGTAGTTTTAGTTGCATGATCAATTTCACTGAAATACAACTGTACAGGTGGCAGATAAGAAAACAGTCAAATAATTTCTTTCTGGCTCTCATGGGTTTTTTTTCTGGAAGTAATGCACCCAGATTCACACATATCCCATGTAATCATGAACCAGTAATTTGTGCATAACCCACATATTTTGGAAAGCTGCTTTTATGTGACCAATGTGCTGATGGGAGTAAATCAAGGAAACTATAAAAGAAGGAAAGGTCATCACATCAGTGACAGCATTTGAGTTTTGCACTGGAGCCAGAATTTGCTGCCACTTCTATTAGTGTTAATGGGGTGGACATGACAAATCACTTTATAACAGAAAAGTACAAAACCTGACAGCACTCACTTATAAGTGTGACACTTTTAATTTAATAAACTGCACAGCAGCAGATAAACGGACACGTTTCAGCTCATAGCCGTCCTCAGCGTTCTATGATCTGAAACGCGTCCGTTTATCTGCTGCTGTGCAAGTAATGGATAACTAGTAAACATAACTAGTAATGTTTACTTAAAGGTAGGATCTGGAGGATTTTGAAACAAAACAAAATATAGACAAATGAAATCCTGCTTAATCATCACCTATGGGCTTCTACTCATGTGTGGTGGTGACTCTGTTTGCAGAGCTCCTGCCCTTTAACTGTATTTTGATGTTTTTGTGAGCTCGGACCGCTTCTGGGCGGAGATTTCCCCAGCCAATGAGAGAGCGCAGGTGCCGTGCTCGAGCGTGTCCGAGCGTGCACCAGCGCAAGCCTTGCCTGAACCTCTTCTGTGAAGCCTTCTTCCGTACCTCCGGGCTCCGTACACCCGGGAGAGTTGAGCCTGATAGGAGGGGCCAAATTTGAATGTGTGTTTACAAACAGCAACTGGAAAATCCTCCAGACCCTACCTTTAAATTGCAAAACTGATGTGTTCAGGCTGTTCTCACAAATTTTTCTTATTTTTTCCTACGGAAAGCAATTCACCCAAATTTGTACATATCGCACATATTTTTAAATGCTGCGATCACATGACCAATGCACTAGCAGTAGTAAACAAGGAAGCAGTCCCGGGTGCTTGTGAGGAGACAGGTTGGCGTGGTGGACGGGTCACAAAAAAACAGACCTTCGTCTGGGACTTTCTGTTGGAATCATGTGTTCGGATCCATAAGAACTTTGAGTGAATTTCCTTCAGGATCAATAAAGTATCTATCTATCTATCTATCTATCTATCTGAATCTTGAGTCATTTTCACCACCTCAACATGTTTCTTTTCCTAAACCTAACCACAGTTACTTTTATTGCCTAAACATAACCATCATAACTTTAAGTTAATTACGTAACTGTATGTTGAGGATGTGACTTGATTGGTGGGGCACACATCTGTGGGATATCTTACTAACTGTGGTGCATGCATTTTTTGTAGGATATCATATGAGCCACTCTATGAGAATACACTGATGTGTTCCATTACTTGTTACAACAAAGTACTCTGAGTACCCGAAACACATCACTCCCCAACACTGGTGGTGTCTGAATCTAGCACCAAGAAGCCACCTTAAATGACGCTTTTACTTTCATCTTTTTATCATAACATGTGTAAGAGATTCTAACAGCCTACCATCAGTTGGTGCTCAACATGTCCAGATTACTAACAACAGTTAATGATATATGCTTGTCTTACATTACTTACATCAAATTGTTAATGCATTGAACAGAGCACTTACTGGTGACAGATGACCACCAAAATGTAAAAAATTGGTATGAAAATATGAAGTGTTACCTGATGTACTGACTTTACAAGTTGATAATGACTGACCTAATGCAGCATAAAGACTGGCAAGAAATTTGTTTTGGAATCTTACAGTCTTAAAATACAATGGCTGTCTCAATTCAAGCTAAACAAGGCTACATTTCTTGACCACATCTGGCAGAGCAGTGATGGACTCAGGATGTTTGAAGAGCAGGGGCAAAAAGGAAAAAAGGGCATCTACTGCATGACATGGGGACAAGAGGGCAGTCAAAAGGGCACATCCACTTGTTTTCATCCAACAGGGCACATCGTCTTGTTTTGATCACTCAAGAGGGCAGCCAAAAGGGAACATCCGCTCATTTTCATCATTCAAGAGGGCAGCTGATAGGGCACTTTAGTGCTGCGTTTTCAACTGAGACGCCTGACCCCCCCCCCCCCCCCCCCCCCCCGAGTCCATCAGAAAGGGAGAGACTTGTTGCCCATTAGAAAGTTGGAGGGGATGGGCATTTGAAATGGGACCCAGTTGGACTATGCTAAGGAATCACTGAGGAATCATTGAGCACCGGAGCCAACAACCTACTGACATAGCATAAATGATAACTGTCATCATAAAGGTTTGTCTGACCAAAAGGACAATCAACCAAAAACTGACTGATTAATTCAACTGAAGGCAAAGTTAATTTCAGAGGTGAGTGAAGTTGAAACAAAAGCAATGAGAAATCAAACAAAAAGACATCCATGCATCAAAGCAGAACACAAACCATGGGAAGACTGAGGCTGTGAAAACTTCATCACGCAACAACTGGTACAGTACCATCACTGGGCTGGAGATAAAAATCCAAACAAAGTGACATGGTGGGATGTAGTAAGGTGAGAATGGCAGGCAAAAAGCTGCACGGAAGAGGGGGGTGGGGGTGGTGTGTGTCTTTGGGGGGGGGGGGGGGGG